CAGCTGCCAAGAAGCCGGCAGCCAAGAAGGCTGTTAAGAAGCCCGTGGCAAAGAAGGCGGCGAAGAAGGCGCCGAGGAATGCCGTGAAGAAGGCCCCAAAGAAGAAGTAGAGCCCGCCTCTTGTCTGGCTTTTCGGCCCTGCGAGTTGCCTCGCTGGTGCGCCTGATAGATGACGGCGCGCCCTCCTGCCTTATGGAGGCGGTGTTGTTGTCCGTTACCCATTACTAGAAATCTTTTTGTTTGTTTGTTTCTTGTGTGTGTGTTCCCCATCGCCAGTGATGGTGAGCTGCGGTTGCCCTTCACCCGGGTGTGCGCCGCTTGCGCCTCCGCGGCGGTGTTGTGGCGATGCATCATAGATTCTGTATGGGATTGAAGATGTTTTCGTGTGTGTCCTTTTTCCCCTGCGTGGTGTGCCGCAGGTGTGTATTTTGCTGCACTCTCATGCGCCGCGTGCCGTCTGGGTACTGCTTCCCCTGCCGTTTCTTTGTGCGGAAGAGCCTGCTGACTGTGCACGAAAAGAACTCGACACAAGAAAACAAAAAAAGGGGAAAGAAACATGTCGGACGCTGTGGCTGTTGCTTCGCCCGTGAAGAAGACTTCACCCAGGAAGGCCTCCTCGAAGAAGGTTGACTGGAGGGGTATTTAGAGGTTGACTTTAATGGATTTTCTGATAATGGTTTTTGCTCTGCTTTGGACCTTGTGCGTATTTGTTGTGTTCCTTATTGCGTACATGGTGGTTTTTTTTGTTTTTGTCTGCCCTTTGGGCAGGGGTTTTGGTGTGTGTGCTTGTTATTAGTTGTGTCGGTGATGCCAGGGAGGTTCGTGTATGTGTGTGTGGAAGTCTGTTGCGTGTTTATGCGTTGCTTGTTGTGTTTACGTTTGTGGGACCCGTGTGAAACTCCGTGACTTGTTTTATTTGTTTCCGTAACGTGTGTTGGCCTTTCCCTGCTGTGGTGAAGGGAGGAAAAGGGCCTTCGAAGGTTTTCGTGGCTCACGCTGAAACAGTTGAAGCAAGTAAGGATGAGCGTTGCTATGAATAAGAGGACTTCGCTGGTGCTCTTGCTCCTGGCTTTTCTCCTGGTTGTGCCCTTTGCGGTACGTGCGCAGCACTCCTTGGAGTGCCAAAATGTTTGGAAGGGGCCTGATGCTGACAACGACATTGTGGCATGCCTCTCGAATAAGGACCGTCTCATTGGACAGTGGCGTTTGCTCGTTCTTCCCGTAATGAACGTTGTACTTTTGGCCGTCCTCGTGCTGAGCTTCCCTTTGCTGTTTCTGTGTGTTCTCTGTTGCCGTTGCTGCTGTGTCCCTGATACGCTGGGAAGCACGAAACGTGCACGGTGCTGCATGTGGCTGTGGATGTCGTACGCCCTCATTTGGTCTGCGGTCATGTTTTACCTTGTCTTTTTCGGTGCCGGATTGTTGATTAAGACGGCCCCGCGCCTTATGGATGACACCGTTTCGGGGCCTTTGACCTACTTTAATTTCACCGCCGAAAAGGTCCTTGACTTTGCGTCTGACTGGTCTACAGGTGAGCGCAAGCAGCTGGATGCTCTTCCTTTGGACCTCACCGATTTCACAACGGTCCATGAAAAGGCTATGGGATTTGTTGATATGGCAAGACAGTATTACTTCAATTATTTGGATAAGGTTTCTCTTGCAACGTACTGTGTATCAAGTGTGGGTCTAGTTCTGATCGCCCTTATTCTGCCGTTTGCCTGCTGTCACTGTTGTATTCCGTGTTTCCCACTCGTTCTTTCATGCCTTTACTGGGTGACTGCCGTCCTTTTTGCGGTGCTGGGAGCTACAGCGGGTGTGTTGGCATATGTTGCTACCGTGGGCTGCGGTGAGTTGGAACTGCATTACGCACGTCAGCCGGGACTTGCCCAATGGTATGCCGTGCCTTACTGCCAGAGGAAATTCAATTTTACCAATATCAACGGAATGATTCGCGAAAAAGAACTTGAACTCTCTAAAGGTGCCTGCGAACAACTCTTGGGAGTGTGTGAGCCGCTAAATGAAACGAATGTTTTGCCCTCGAAATTACTTGCAGGTGTTCCTCACGTCATTAATGGTGCCCAACGTTCGAAGCTGCTTTCAGGTGCCCCTGTAGCTCTGAATGGTGCTCAAGGAGTTGGTGTTCCAGGAGTTGGTGCTCAAGGAGTTGGTGTTCCAGGAGTTGGTATTCCAGGAGTTCCAGGAGTTGGTATTCCAGGAGCCAGCGGCGCTCAGGCCGATGCTTCTGGTGCTGGCGTTCTTGCTGCTGTTGGTTCTGTCCTTGGTGCTGGCGGTGGCGGTGGTGATGCTTCCCAGGGTGGTGGTGCTGCCGCTTCTCCACTTGCGGGGCTGGCTGGCTCTGTGATTGCAGATGACGGCAATGTCGTTGACCTCGCCAATTTGCTTAACGGGGATCCCTCAGCGGCTGGGGGACTTGCCAAGTTTGAGAGCTTTGACGGTTTGCCTCCCGGGGTTACTCTACCTTCTATGAAGGACATGCCAGCTGTGTCAGAAAGCCTGAAGAAGGCCTTGGAAGGGCGTAATATTTCCGCCGATCTTCTCAATGAGCTTCCTGGAAACTTGGGAGAATTGGCAAACATGCTAGCCGATGCCTCGAAGCTTAAAGAACTTTTCACACGTCCCTTGGTGTGTGGCGCAGGCCTAAAAAAGAAAGAGGACTGTACGGACTTTGGCACGATGGCAAGCATCATAATGGACACCAAACTCAAGAAGGAGATCCCGGGGTGCAAAGGGGCAGGAACCTACTGCAAGCTTTCGGAGTGCGCGGGCGGTTGCGCGCTGGATTTTCTCAAGAGTGCGTCTGCAATGCTTCTGTCGAAGGCGGAACAGGCACGTAACGCAAGCATTGCGCTTTCGTATGCCAGACCTTTGCTTGAGTGCAACTTCGTGATGGATAAGCTGGCTGGTGCCCTGACGAGGTGCGATGACATCCGGCGAGGAACGCTGATGCTTGGGATGGGATTCTTCGTGGGGGGGATAATTTTTGGCCTGGCCATCTACATTGCCTTACGAGGCGCATGCGTGTGGGGGAAGCGGTTTCCGAAGTTGCGAAGGAAGCCCAGAGAACGGTAAGTTGTCGTCCTTGCCTTTGCCCTTCTCCTTCCCCACTAATAATTTTTTTTTTTGCTCTTCTTCTTCCCTTCTCCCCTTTTGCTTTTTCTTTGTATACAAATGCGCGCAAGTTTTTTTTGTTTCGCGTGATATTTCCACCACCGGTGGTTCAGTGGCGCACAGTTGCGAGAATGGGAAGATATCTGCATGTGCAGTTGTATATCTATCGATGGATATATACACACGTCTGTAACGAAGAGCAGAATTCTTTTGTTTTTTTNTTTCTGTCTTTTTT